AGATCTGGCTGGCCGAAGATACGACCGCCATTATAGAGGGCACTACCGACCCCTATGACCCGACCAGCGGCAAAGTGCGTTGGCCTGGATCGACCGCATCAAGCTCGGGCTCTAGTGGAGCGTCGACTCCGACGGTTGAGAAGTCTGACGACACTATCATTTCCTCATCCTTCGGTGCCTTCCTCAAGGCTATTGCTCTGTGCAACAACTCCGCTGTTACCGATGGCAAGGCCTCGACCGATACTGAGTCTATGACCACCGCTACCGAGGTGCCGGTTTCGTGGACCGCCATTGGCGAGCCCACCGAGATTGCCCTTCAGGTCTTTGCTATGCGATATGGAAAGGGAAAGACAGACCTCATCTCGTCCGAAAAGACGAAGATGTTGTACGAGTTCCCCTTTGACTCCACCTGCAAGCTCATGAGTGTCGTCTACGAGTTCCCTGGCGCTCCCCGCCAGGTCTTCACCAAGGGTGCCGTCGAAGTCATGGTTGAGAGATTGGCCGAGTCGGACGACGTCAAGCAGAGGATCGCGGCCAAGGCTGACGAGCTAGCCTCAGAGGGTCTCAGAGTCCTCTGCGTTGCTCAACGATTCCTCGAAGATGCTGACAACGCTAGCGAGAGAAACGAAACGGAGTGCAAGCTCCGTTTCCTCGGTCTTGCTGGCCTGTACGACCCCCCTCGTGTCGAGACTCTCGGAGCCGTCAAGAAGTGCAACACGGCTGGTATCTCAGTCCACATGGTTACTGGAGATCACATTAAGACTGCTACTGCCATTGCTCATGAGGTCGGTATCCTGCGTGGCGGCGAGCCGTCTACTGCAGTCATGGCCGCTGGACAATTCGACGCCATGACCGACGCCGAAGTTGACGCTCTTGAAGCCCTCCCTCTTGTGGTCGCTCGATGCAGCCCTTTGACCAAGGTCAGAATGCTCGAGGCCATGCATCGTCGCAAGGCCTACTGCATCATGACTGGTGACGGTGTCAACGATTCGCCTGCTCTCAAGAAAGCCGATGTTGGTATTGCCATGGGCAAGAGAGGCAGTGACGTTTCCAAAGAGGCAGCGGACATGGTTCTTACCGATGACAACTTTGCTTCCATCGTTACCGCCATTAAGGAAGGTCGTCGCTTGTTTGACAACATCCAGAAGGTTTGTTTATCCACACATGCACATTTCCTCGAGACACTTTTCTAACCAGGCTGTCAGTTCTTGCTCCATCTCTTGATCTCCAACATCTCCCAGGTCATTCTTCTCCTTATTGGTCTGTCCTTCAAGGACAGAAGTGGCACCTCCATATTCCCTCTATCCCCTTTGGAGATTCTGTGGGTCAACCTTATTACATCCTCATTCCTGGCTATCGGTCTTGGTCTGGAGGAGGCTCAACCCGATATCCTCCTGCGTGCACCTCACAGTCTACGCGTTGGTGTCTTCACCTGGGACTTGATCCGCGACAAGATGATCTACGGTTTCTTCATGGGCTCGCTCTGCTTGGCCGCGTTCACTTCCGTTGCGTACGGACCAGGCGCGGGCGATCTCGGCAGCCATTGCAACGACGGCTGGAACGAGACCTGTGATGTCGTCTTCAGGGCCCGGTCCACCGTTTACGCCACCTTGAGCTTCCTGCTCTTGGTCACTGCCTGGGAGGTCAAGCACTTCCAGCGCAGCTTGTTCAACATGAACCCTGAGTTGTGGACTGGCCCCACGGCTGTGTTCAAGACCATCTTCAAGAACCGTTTCTTGTTCTGGGCCGTCGCCGGCGGCTTCATCATGACTTTCCCCGTCATCTATCTCCCTGTTGTCAACCGCGCTGTCTTCAAGCACGGCATGATTACCTGGGAGTGGGGCATTGTCGTTGCCTGCTTGGTCGTCTATGTTGCTCTCATTGAAACCTGGAAGGCTGTAAAGCGTCACATGGGTCTCGGCATGATTGCACGCAGTCCTGAAGGACAGGTTTAGTCCGCGCGCTAGATTGGAGATGATTCTGCTGCAAAGCAGATGCCTCTGCGCAGGCTGTAGTCAAATGCGTGGGAAGTTTCCTGGTAATCGGTGCCTCGGTGCGAAGTATTGGCGGGATTAATATCGGATCCAACATCGGTAATGGGAATCAGGCAGAATGGGGCTATTCAACATGAGTCTGGCAGGCTTTCGGGCTTTGGTGATGCGTTCGCTTTCGTCACACTCTTTTAGTATCTTTTCTACAAGGCTCTGGCTGTCGAGGATTTACTCCAGCCCCAAATTGCCACGCAATAAAATGAACTCGATGTTTCGAGCTCAACACACACTCTAAATGTTCCCTTGCGTACTAATGTGCTGACGTTCAATGGACCCTTGGTTCTCTGCATGCTTTTCGACAAAACCTGCTTCTCTCCTCTCCTGCTCAACCTTCTTCTTGTACTCAACCCAATCATCGCTCCTCGGAAACGGCACATTCGGCACCTCGGCCCCCAAAAACGCACAAAGCGGCTCCCATCCGTCTCCAAGTCTCAACTCGAGGAACTTACGCCCATCGGTCCTAAACGCCCTCACCTCCTCATGGTGCCTCTGAAAATACGCCTTTCCATTCTTTCCAAAGTCGTTGTCCCAACAGACAGAGTGGTATGCGTTCGCCAACCCCTCCATTGGCGACTTTCGAAATTCATCCCGGTGGAGATGTGCGTGGATCAGCGTATCCCGCATCGAAGACGCCCAGGAGTCGAAGGAGCGGGTGGTGAGGATTATCGGGGTTGTAGGGTATGCTTCTGCAAGGGCGGTTGGGAAGAGGGAGGGGGGGAAGTCGGAGACTGCTTCGTACGAGGAGAGGAGGGCGTCCCATTGGGATTTTGACCAGGGGCTTGGGGGGTTGGAGATGGGGAGGTTGTCGGTTATGGCGGTGATCCAGAGGTCTTGGTGGGTGTTTTTGGCGACTTCGCGCATGTGGTATACGGGGGCGATTTTGAGGATTGCGAGGGCGTCGGCGAGGGCTGGGGAGTGTTAGAGAGGTTTTAGTCAACGGGGATGGTAGGTGAGAGGTACACTGTATGCCTGTTCTGGGGAGACCCAGGACGAGAACTTTCATTTCAGACATGTTTGGCAAGTTGATCTTGTTAAAAGCGGACGAGGATACCATGATGTTGAGATGGGCGGGTTCTCGTTTCGTGAGTGAGCTGACCACAGCGATTTGAAGGAACTGAATACAAAACTTCATTGCGACTTCTGGGTTTGCAATAGTTTCTGCCATCTGACCTCGATAAAGGGATCGAATGAGTCCGAGATGTTCCGCAAGGCAAGATCACGGGGCTGGCTTGGATAGGAAGCTGACTCGGAGCGGGTCGGATCGGAGATGCTCTGAGGATCCGGGGCCCGGTCGCGGTTCCACTTTTACGGGATTGCGGCCGGCGTCATTCCCGATTTTGTCCGCTGGCAGATTACGTCACTCGAAAGAAGAGCCTCTACTGCAGGAAATTTGAGAACTTCTGAGAAAAGGATGAAGTATGGTCTTTGCCGAAAGAATAGGCAGTCTTGAGGGGACGGCAGGGCCACTCGATGCTGGATGCTCGACTGGGTGCAGGGAACTTTGGCCGTTGCTTGTATAGAGCCTAGCATACGGAAAGACACAAAAACATTGGAGTTCTTCGTGAAAGAAACGACCGCGTGAGGATCTAGTGTAGTAATCGTTGCCAGTGATTGAAGACGTGCGTAGACCAAGTACTTGTTTAGGTCAATTCATTTGTTGATCTTCAGTGCCCCCCCGGGGGGGGGGGGGGGGGGGGGGGCGGGTAGGGGGGGGTCGGTGGGGGGGTGAGATGTTGTATTATTTCTGAAGGGTTAAGAACGGGGCGAAAAAAAAAATTTTTTTTTGTTTAATTTTTTTTTTTTTTTTCGGCCCCCCCCGGGGGGGGGGGGGGGGGGGGGAGCCAGTATAAGTAGGTCCGTACGTAGTCTAAGAAGCGATAGAGCAGGCAACAAGCATGCGCGTGCAAGCATCAACAGCCTGGATGGAGCCTGCTCACCCATGGCTGTGATGGGAATAATCTGGATTGGTCAGCCTGGGTGGTGATGTAAACAGTGATAAGCAGACAACGACTCGCCAGCTAAGCCTTTACCAGTCGCCCGTTATTCTTGTCTCGGCACCACCGCTACCAGAGTATTCAACCCCTAATATGTGCGAGAAGTAGGATAGTGCGGGTATATTGGAAAGAGTTCTTATACTGGTCGTAAAGAGCGAAAAATACAGGAACAGCTTACTATTGAGTGAGTTAAAACAGGCACATCTTTTCCACACCGAGAAATTCGAGATTTCAGTCCCAACATCCCACCGTCTGGTTGCTATCTCAGAGTTCTCTGTCGCCCCCTTTTATATTGTTAAATTCATGCAATTGACCATGTCTTGAGAGCAAGAGATACCGATACCCAGACACCGAGTACCTTAAACAGAGGGCCATCAAATTCAATGCGAGTGACACGAAACGACTGCCATAACATCAATGAATTGCTATACTTCCACCTCAACGCGAGCTTGTAGTTGAGCTCATGTGTTCAGACATAAAGGGTGGCATCCAAGCTCCGATCGGAACAAGTAAAGTGAAGCTGGACAGTGCAGCTCAAGTGAGCAAACACCAGTCAGTTGCGGTCTTCCACCCCAAGACAATTTCATGTGAGTCTGTCAAAGAAGCTCCAAGTTTAATTAAGATAGAAGAGTTGGCATATTTTTATACTTAGGGCGGCTGGTACCTCCACGGGAATTCAGTTTGTTCTAGAGCATTTACCTACCAAGGTTACCCTGTACATCACAAAAGGGCAATGTTAGGGATCTACTAATATCAGGGACCATTCATCTTCAAGTTCTTTCAAGTAGACTCTCCGAGCACGGATCTCAAACTGAGGGTTCGCCCCTCCATCAGCTAACTTTACCCCTTTCGTCATCCGCTCATCGCGATTTGCCTTTCGGTCCTGCAGGCTGCGTTCATCTTTACTCACCAACACAAACTATACCACCGAAGTTCGCCCAATGCCGGAACACTCTCAAAAGTAAAATCCCCCAAGGGTCCGTCTGGAAGAGCAGGAAGTCTTTCTCAACTGGAGTGGGCATGGTTTGGAGTTTGGAGTTTGTCGATTGACGGGTTGAGTTCCCTGCGAGATAGGTCCTTTCCACGCCACCGACATGGCGTTAGACTAGATCACCCTATCTTTGCGAAGCGAGACTGGAAACATTCCAATATTGCATCGCCGTAGGACCATTACCGAACTACATCTTATATTACCAAAAAGAAGGAAAAGGCCATGTTGGTGATCTGGGGGCTTGGCTGCTTATATCTACTCATTGCTTCCATTTGCCAACAGCCACACCGATCACTCATTCCGTGGAGCAATGTACCGAGGCATACTTTGCCACTGATAAATGTGTGATAAACCAGTTTCTTTCCAATCAGAAAGCATCGGAGAATAAGCTTATTCGATGAAGAGCGAATCGCATTCGAAATGTGTGCCGTGAGGTCAAAGCAGATGACCCGTCACCTACCTATGTCTTCAGCCTTCTCCACAATGGAAGCCACAAATAATCGTTTCATTCCTCGAAAACCATCTGCCAAATACCCTAGAACTCCGCTCGTACCTCTGGAGAAGTGTTCGACTTCAAAGCGCGCGACTTCAAAGCGCGATGGGGATTTGTTGATATCAGGGCTACTTGTTTGGACGTCTGATCTGGTCAGTGAGAAGACAAGCTCCGAATATCCAATCTGGGCAATACTCGGCCTAAGAAAAAATCAAGAGGACAAGAGAATCAGCAGAACTTTCTTGATCAGGCAAGAAGATTGTGAGATGATGCAGCTCAGAAACTCCCCTGCAGAGTCAAACATTTTGGGCAAATGGGGGCCGGACTACCAAGGGTCCGGACCTTTGAGACCATGAGCTATACCGGACTGTTAGGACAGTGGCCTTTCAGACCGAGAAGGTTCTGGTGGAATTGGACGTGACGAATCCGCGGTCCAAGCCAGCCAGCCTCGGTGATTCGCCATTCTTAACCCAGGCTCGTGAACCAGCCAAATAGGGGGCACAGCGCGCCGCCGTACCCTGTTTGAAAACATCGGACATCGAACGAGGGCTGGACATCGAGTGAGAGGTGCCAGCTACCTCGCACGCATCCCCTCCCGCTCCGAAGACCACCTGGTGGTCCACGATCACTTGGCCCCCTGGCATCCACAAATCTTGTTGCCATCCGACGAACTGACCTGGGGGAAGGACCAGTTGATGCCACCACCATGACAATGACAGATTCAGTCATTCAAGTCCATGTCGGGATAACCCATCCTCAGCCACCCCCGTCCCAGAAACAAATTTGGTGACAGGGTTGCAGCTTCAGAGTCCTAGCCAGGCGCGGCTATGCGCCTGGCACGGACCTCTGCAGAGGAAACCTGCGGCGAAGTGACATATGGCAGACATTTGTCAACTGTGTCACTGTCTCGGATGGGGCACAGGATGCTGAGTCGAATCCGAATGCGCGGCTTTTGATTGCTTGGCACTGGCCGGGATCGTGGACACAGTTATTGGGACATTGGGCGCTAAGACGTCGTGGAGGCTCCCATCGAGACGTGAACGCACGATGACACTCAGTGCTGCACTAGCGGCTGCCAAACAGGAGACAAAGTGTCTCTGTAAGATGCCTGTCTAGCGCTACTCCGCCTTGCTAGGCACTAGAGGCAATTGACACACATAACGCTAACATGTTATGTGCAGGCGGAACACCCCGGAGTGCTGCTGCGTGCTAGCCTTCCCGCACCAGTTACCTGAAGTTCTGCAGGAGTGAAGTCAACTCAGTCTGCGCCACTGATTAGTCTGCTGAATACTTGAACCATTAAGTAAGCTTATTGCGTTAGTTTGGAGAGAATATGCGGGCCGAGAGGCGCGACAGTGTGCAGTACGTTTGCCAAGACCGCGAGCCTGATATCGAAACCCAGGCTCTCAGTGTTACCTCGGAGCCATCATAGCTGTCGAGCAGAAACATTTGACACAATATCTTGACAAATTTAGGGGAAAGAAATTAATGATTTGTGCCATCTGAAATGCTTCGGTGGGTATCGCAGCTTGCCGCGATCGCAGTGTGGTCTAGGCGGTGCGATTCATGAACGCACACACCATGGGAAATGAACAGCACCGCTGCCGGAGGATGAAAATAGAAGGAATCACCCTTTTCAGGTTCAGGGTCGCCATGCAGACTGAATGTAAAAGCCCACCACTTTTTGCCCGGGTCGAGAGACTGACGCTTCTAGTGGGGGTCCGTGAATCCACATTTCGTTTCGTCTGACCGTGAAAGCCGTGATCTTTGGTCGACGACCGAACCACGCTGCATGGCGTGCCGTCTGCGCGCGTTTCAAGGGTTCATCCTCGGCCGTGACTACACTCAGCCGGATGAGGCTTCCGCGGCGCCAATTGCAACAGCTTAGGCGAGTACTGACAGATTCTGACGATGGTTACTGTGAGAGAAGTCGGTTTTGCGTACCGCAAGTCTAGGTACTGAGGATACAGGCTGATGAGCCGTATGGAATTCGATGCTTCTTGGGCTGAGACTGCAATGGCTCGGATGAAGTCTCTGTGACGGGAATGCAAAGACCAAGTTGACTCGTCGTCAATGTCCCGAAGCTGGTATATTAAGACGGTGGATTTCCAGGTCTAGGTCAAGTTTTCCTTCCATCTCATCAGCATCCAGAATTCTCAGCTTACAACGATATTCCAACACTTTCCTAAATAACTTTCATCCTTCGCGTCAATCAGACCAAGCCTTCGCTTACCGAATACCAATCAAAATGCACTTCACCAACGTCTTCGTCCAGGCCCTGCTTGCCGGCTCCGCCGTTGCAGCTCCCGCTTCTCTCGCCAGCAAGCGTCAACTTCAGCCCATCCAGGCTGCCTTGACCAACGTCCAGGACTCTCTCACCGGGCTCGACACCGCTGTCAAGGTACGAGAAGATGACTCGAACATGATTCAGTGACCGAAGCTAACCCGCTCTTGCGTAGGCTCTCAACGCCGCGGATCCCAACACCGCCGCCAACCTGCTTGATGCTTCCAACAAGGTCCAGACCTCGCTGAAGCAAGGTACCACGCAGATTCAGGGCGCCCAGGAGCTTTCCCTCACCGATGCCCTCACCCTCCAGCAGTCAGCCGGTGGCTTGACCACCGCGGTCCAGACCTCCGTTGATGACTTGGTCGCCAAGAAGCCGGAGCTTGACAAGCTTGGCGCCACCTCCATCGCCGTTGACCAGCTCAAGCAACAGAAGGCGACTGCCGGTGACTTCAGCAGTGCCATCGTTTCCAAGGTCCCCGCGATCGGCCAGGGTATTGCTCAGCAGTCTGTTGACCAGGTTACTCAGTCTCTGGACGGTGGTATTCAGAAGCTCGGCGGTGATGCCGCCGGTGGTGCCGCCGGTGGTGCCGCGCCTGCTGCCCCCGCTGCCCCTGCCGCTCCCGCCGCCCCTGCTGGCGCACAAGAGCAATTCCACGCTGAGGTCATGGCCTAAGCAGCGGTTATTCTGAGGAGAAAGATGGTACAGGATCCAACCATGGAGATCTGATGATTATATGAAGATTTTTAGCGAGTTTCCTTTTGTGTGGTGTATTGATAGGTGAAGACAGAATGGTTAGCTGAGCTGCCGGAGCAGCTGCGCTGCATAGTGTGTATTGTTCAATTGAAGCCGATTTCTCACATTGGTGTTGCCTTTTTAGAGGGAACCTTAAGATTTGACTCTGGCCAAGGGTCTTTGACAGATCCCATCACCTTTCGTCTGGTGCCAGTGCCTGCTAGAAAGTGGCAGTGAAGATCACTCAGACTCGCTCAAGGCACCCAACATTCGGAAGTATTGGCCTGAGCTAAATGAGTTGCTGATCGGACCTTTTCGAGGATGAAATTTTCGAACACGGTCCATGTCAAAGACGATTTCCACCATCAACGCGGCTGTCATTGACAATGAAAAATTAGGGTTGATCGGTATTGCAGTCCTAATCGTTACCAATATATTTCCAACAAGGCTTGCAGAACTAGGTGGGAAGTTTTCGTTGAGTTGCATAGCGACATCGAGGCCATCCTGTTTGTTCCAATTAGGTAATATGCGGCATGCTCGAGGCCAGTCTTGCAAGGCGCCTTCGTTGTCCAGTGCCGCTTCGAGATAGATACCGATGTAACTGCCATCGTCACCCCCAGAATCCGTTATTCCGAAGATAAGCAGGCTACGACCATTTCCATCAGTAACTCCCTGGTCAAGCATGGCCATCAGACTCGTATGTTCATACAGTGCCTCGGGGGGATCTACTGCGTGAAGACGATAACCGGAAAAGCCACGCGGGAATGTGATGAAGCAAGAGACCTTGTTGAACGTTCCTTCTGTTTGCCTGAGAGGCTCAAAAATCCGTCTCCAAAGGCCTTCCTGGTCCGCCTCGTCAAGCATGGAGATCATGATGTTCGTTGATTCTTCGGGTATGAATTCTGAAGACAAATCATCAGGAGGCGAGGCGTTTCCTTCATGCCATTGAAGAAGGGACTTCATCGAAGCCGAACTGAGCGATATCCACGGTGCAGGCAGAGATACGCGCGTAAACTGGCGCCGGTAATCGTTGTTGTGAGATGACAAAGGTATGCAAACGGCGCTCCTAGCATGCTGCTCCTCAATGCTCGTGGTGCAGTTCAAAACGCCCAGAACGAAGTCAGGCGACAATGTCTGGATCAGGGGCAAAGATATTGAAAGACCGGCATTAGTCATTGCGTAAAATGGCGGCGTCATTGCCGTTGGCGCTGCCAGACGGGACCAGCGGATGATATCTGTTGACTTAGAGAAGAGCGAAGGTGACGTAGCCAAGGGTGCCGTCATGAGTAGGCTCGGCATATCGGAGACGAAAATGCTCTGGTCATCGGAGACCCTGATTATCTCCTGCTGTAGCCTTAGGAAAGCCTTGATGCCCTCTCCGTAGAGAAGAGGCATATGGACATCACAGAGACCGAGGAGACAGTATGCTTGGTCTTCTAGGCGAGTTGTGACACGGTGAGCAGCCCAAGACATGATTCTGGCAACACTGTAATTGGAAGGGGATGTTTCGCCTAAAAGACACCATTTGTCGATTCCAGTTGCTCGATGTATTACGTTAAGCAAACTTGGTTTTGTTCCAATAAATGTCCAATCCTGAGTGTAAAAGTCGATGCGGCGGGGAGCAATAAGCTCCTGCAAAGTCCAGCCACGAGTAAACCATTTGCTGTTCAGGAATTGACTGTCCAGGTCGCGATCATCCATGGCCCTGCTTGAGACTGATACGTCGGCCATATAAACGTAACAAATCGCTGCGTCCTGGTACCAGACAAACATGGAGTTAATAGCCTCTGTCGGATTAGAAGTCCAATTCGACCGCGGCATACAGCCGACTGCGCAGGGGCCAATTAGGGGCCCTATTTACGATTATTATAGCTAGCCTAACCTACAGTTAGAACCTCCCTTTTATACTTACTATATAAATATTTATATAGTTTAATTAATCTCTTCGTTAACTACGGTTCGAATTAATTATTTTATAATAAAGATACTAATATTAATTAGTAATTAAATTCTATTATTATAAATTAGTAAAGTATTTTATTATATAAAAGAAACGACTTTTTAATACTATACAGAATAAGAAATTCGTATTAATTAACTTTATAAAAATAGATAAACAAGGGAGGTAATTCTTAAATACTATACGGAATTAAGTAATTATAGCCCTTTATTATTTATAAAAGGTCGATATTTATTACGTTAAACTACGTTAATTAATAAAACTACTTAAATAATTAGACTTTTACCGTCGCTTTAAATAGCTTTTTTACTAAATAACTTTTCTATAACTAGCCCGTAATTAAAAATTAACTAATTAAATTAGTAAAAAGTATATTTACGTAATAACTACCTACTTAATTAATTAGCGTAATAAGTAAGCTTAATAATATAATATAAAAAAGTACTATATAATTAAAAAAAAGAATTTTTAAATATAAATATTCTTAGTTAGCGTAATAAAAAGTATATAAAAGTTATTAAATTAAGAAATTTATAATATATAAAAAAGTCTATTATTATAAGAATTTTATAAATATAACTTTAAGCCCATAATCTAAACGACCTCTTTATAGCTCCCTTAACTACTTTCTAAGTATTATTTAAAAATATAATATAAGGGACGGTTTAATAAAAGAGGAGGGGATTTAAAGGTCTTAATAATATTAAATTAAAAATATTATAAATCTCAGAAATTAATTTAAAAAAAAAGCGACTATTCTAAAATAGTCCTACGACTTTTTAATAAAGTTATTATTAGTTTAAAAAAAGGCTAAAAAAACGAAGATCTAAAGGGAAAAAAAAAGAATTTTCTAAAGGGCTATTAAAAAGCTTTTTTTTTATATTAATTCTTAACGTAAAATTACTAATTTCGAAATATTAACTAAGTAATAAAAGGGATTATTAATAAGCGATAATTACTTAACCATAATTAAGCTATAAAAAAGACTATTTAAAAAATATAAAATAGAGTATTAAGAGGCTATAAAAAACGAGGTCCTTAAAGTATCTAACCTTATTATATATAAATAATAAGTAAGTATTTTTAATAAGTTTTTAAAGTTTACGATTTTATAAAAAAGAGGGCTTAATTTTATTAACCGTACTTAACAGCTTATATAGTTCTTAATAACTTATATAGTTCTTTTATAAACTACTTAATATTTATTTTTAACTATTTTTATAAAATATTATTTTAAAAAAGATAGGTTAAAAAAAGAGGTTATTTAAAAATTATAAAAAGCACGAGGCTTAAGAAGTTAAAAGTATATAAAATAATAAAAATTAATAATTAGTAAAGATCTTGAGACTAATTATTATATTATTTTATAGTAATATAAACGTTTATTATTATTATTAAAAAAAAGAACTATTAAAACCTACCTTTTTATACTAAATAAAAAAGAGGATCTTAATAAGTATAATAATTAATAATCTAAAAAAGTAATAATAATTATTAAAAATAATAAAAATAAGAATAGTAGCGAGATAGTAAGAAGAAGTAGGAATTTCCTAGACTTTAATAAATTTATTAAATAATAAAAATACGGATTTATTATAACTAATACGCGGATTAAATATATTCTTATTAAAATTAAATACGCTAATAACTACTAATACGAGTATAAGTTAGAATATAACCCTTAATAAGTTAAGATAAAAAAAAAAGGATAAAACCCGATCCTAAATAGAATCCTAATCTTTTATAAGTAAGTAAATATTAACCCGGATTATTAAGGAATATAAATATATAGAATTATAAATTAACTTAATAATAAGTAAATTAATATAGTATTAATCTATTTAATTAAGGTTTATATAAAAAAGGGGCTATAGGGGCAACCCCTATTTTATAAAATTATAAATAATCTTAATTACTAACTAAATAAATAGTTTATAAGCGCAAGCTTAGGAATTATAAAAATAATTAATAAATTCTTTTACGAGCGAGGGGTATTATTAATATAGTTATAATTATAAGAACTATATAAAATCTTAGTAACGACGATTATAGAGGAGGAATTTATATTATAAAACTAAGTATAAGTTGATAGGGTATATAATCGTTTTAATAAATTTAAAAAAAAAGTAAATAATATAGATTTCCTTTTTATAATTATTAATAATAATCTATTATTATAAAAGGATATATAAAAGCGAAATATAATACTAAAAATACGATAATTAATAATTCTACTTATTTTAATTTATAGCTCGTTACCGTTACTAATACGAAATTTAGTATTAATTAGTTAATAAAAAAAGAAATAAACGACCTAAAGTTATTAATAATACGTAGCTACGTAGGGATTATATATAAATATTAAAAATATAATAATAAATATAAAGTAATTTACTAACTTTAAAAAGATCTTTTTAAAAAAGAAATTATATTTTAAAAAGAAATATAAGGTTTTATAAAAAACCCTAATAATATTTTATAATTATTATAAAAAGATCGGGATTAGGGAATACTAATACTATTTAATAATTAATATCGTATTTATAAATAAAGCCTTTAATTACTATTACGAAATAGTACGTAATCTCGATCGAAACGACTTTTTTAATATTATTAACGTAATCCGAAGCCGCTTTAAAACTTATAATAAGAACTTAAAGCTCCTATTTAAGCTATAAGTAATTTATTTTATATTTATAACTAGGATAATAAAGGGTAAATCGTAAATAAAGATTTTTAAAAAGCTTATTAATCAAATTAATAAGCTAGTAAAAACCTAGCTAAATAAGGGAACTAATAAATAGAAAATCGAATATCTTTATATTATAATTTAGTATATATTAAAAATAAAAATAACCCTATACTAAGTATTTAAAAACTATAAGACGCTCTACTTAAAACTAAAATTTAGCTTTAATATTAAAATAAAAATACCATACTAAACCTATTTTTAGAAATATAACGGCCCTTATTAATAATATTATATTAATTAAATATATAATAAAAAAAAAAGAGGCTAAATATAATAATTACTAATAGGGAGGCTTAGATTTATTAAATAGGCCGAGATTTAACTCGTAAATAAAGTAATAAAAAAAATAATATTATATTTATAAAAAAAATAAATATTAGTTAAGTAATTACTCTAAGGAAGAGCGTATTAAATTATATAAATAGTATAAAAAGTTAAGAATAGTAAATAGTAAAACTAGCCCTCGTTAGTTTAACTAATTCCTTATTATATATAAGAGTAGATCCGGGGGTACGGAACTTAGTAATAATAACTAAAATAGTAGTTTAAAATATCCGCTCCTTATAAAAAATTCGGAAAATAAAAAAGATCTTACCCTCTATATTAATAAATTAGATTATAATAAAACTAACGATATTAATTACTTTTTTTTTACCCCGTTAGTTTTTAAAAAATATACGAGGCTAAACGAATAAAAAGTAATAAAAGCTCTTAATAAGTAGGCTTTTATTTATAAATAATAAAAAAAGGTCCTTTAAATAATAAATACGGAAGTAGCTAAAAAAGTAAATTTAATAAGGCCGAAGTCTATTCCCTTAATACTTAGGGAGAAGACGCTATTTCTCTTAATATTTAAAAAAAAAAAAATACTAAGTAAATTTAGAAATAGTTAGAGGGGTCCTTTTTATACCTTTTAAATTACTTAAATACTAAGCTCGTATAAGTATTTTATATAAGCAAAAAGTACGGCTTAGATAATTTTTATAAAATTATCCTAAATACTAAAGTATTATAATAATTAATAAAAAAAAAAGGGTAATTCTAAGTATTATAAAAGATCGTACTAGTAACGCTTAATATATTAATAATAAGTATTATAAGGATTAGCTTTAGCTTAGGTAAGGAAATCGTCGCCCTAGGTATAGTAAAAATAAAAACGTATTTTAGAATAATAACTTTTTATATTTTACTTATTAATACCCTATTTCTCTTATACCTAAAAAATATAAATTAACTAGGTATTATATTTAATAATATAAGGAATAGAATCTCTAGTAATAAGTATTTTAAAATAGTCGAATAACGATAGGGGTATACGTTTATAAAGCTTATTAATAATACGAAGTTAATTAATTATTTAATAAAAAGTAAGCTTAGATAACTATACTAAAAATTCGGGCACCCGTTAGTTATAAAGCTATATAACTTTTTAAAATAATTAGGTAATAATAATATCGAAATAGGGGTACTAGAGTAGTTAATAAAAGTATATTACTAATACTAAATAAATATATAAAGCCTACGTAAATTTAAATTTAAATTACGTAATAAGCTTAACTTTAATTAAAAAATCGTTATCGATATTTTTTATTTAAATAGTCGGCTAGTCCTATATATAATTAATATAACTATATCTTTTTAAGTAAAGTAATTCTTTTAGGATTTATAAATAAAAATAGTATAAATAGCCCTATAAAAAGAATAAATCGATATATACTAAGGACCGCTAAATAGTATTAAAACCGATACTAGTACTAGTTTTAAATTAGTAAAATTTAAAAAAAATACGATAGCTTATAGTATATAACTAAAAGTTATACTTATTAAAGCGTATTATAATATTAAAAAAGTAAAAAGGGTATATTAGTAATTAAAAAGGGCGTTTAGAATTATTAAAAAAGAAAATTTCGATTTTATTAATAATAAATGCTTCTAGATAGTACTTAAATACTATAACGATACTATAGGGCCTAACGGGCTTATACTAATACTATTAATATTTAGAGTATATTTAAAAACGACCTTAGCCTCGCTATTATTACTAAATATAAGCTAACGAGCCTAAGTAATTAAAAAAGTAATATAAGTATTATATAAAATAAGTATAAAAAAGTAAGTTAATAAGGTAATTATTATATATAATAAGCCTAATATAGGGAGTAATTTAAATATATTACTAAATTCGGATATATAAGTATAATATAAAATTACTTAATAATAGGCTAGGCTATATAAGTTAATTTTTATTAACGAGCGCTCTTATATAGTTATAAAAGATCGTAATTAGTTATTTAAAATATTAATTATAGTAATTAGACCGTACTATATAAATCTTAACGAAATAATTTTTAATTTATAAAAAGAAAAAGAGCTAGGGGAAACTATATAACCTATAGTAAAGGTATAGGAAATTATCTTTAATAAAATCGTTATAGTAATATTAATAAATAATAAAGAAAAAGAAATTACTAAAAAAGTACTAATATTACTAATAAAATATTATAAAAAACCACGATAGTAAGCCCTAACGTAATAATTTATTATTAATAACGAGGTAATTAATACTTTTTATATAATAAAAAAAAAAGCCGATTTCGAATTAGTAATTAAACTACGTAAAAAAGGTATAATTATAATTACTAAAAAGCTATATAAGGGATTAGATCTTATTAAAATAAATATTTTTTATAATCGAGGGGTTTATTAATTTATTTTTTATAACTTAGAAAAGTATATAAACCTCTATATATTTAAATTATAAATAGTTTATAAAATTAAAAGGAAAGGAATATCCTAGCTATATAAAAAGTCTAAATACGTAATTTAGGGATATAGTAACGTTAAAAAAGTAATACTACTTATATAATCGCTTATTATATAGCGCTATAGCTAATAATTAATAATAGTATTAATAGTATTATTACGGAAAAAGGGATACGAGATTTAAAGTTATAATATTACCTAGGCCTATATTTAATCAGCTACGGGGCTTATAAAAAAAATCCTAGCCTATTTACTAAAAAAAATAGTTAGTAAGTACTTAGAAAGTACGATTATTAAAGTATTTAAGCTACTATATAGGCTCGTAAAATCGGGTACTTATTAATAAACTACTTATTACGATTTTTATATTAATTAATTATTAATAGTTACCTCTATATATAACCTGTACTTATTAATTTCTAAATACGAAAGTAATTAATTTAAAATCGTTAAAATATAGACCGATAATATATTAAGCCTATTTAATATTAATTTTATAAAAAAAGAGAATAAAGAGCTTTAGAAAGCGGGTTTCGTAATAAAATTAAAAAAGGTCCTTATAATAAATACCCCCCTAGTTTTTAATAATAGGATTTTTATAATTAAAAGGGAAACTATTATTTTTTAATAAAAGGGGTAGGGTAAGAAGATTAACCTTATTAATCCGAACGTAATTAATATTAAAAAATAGTATAAAGCTAAGCTTACGCAAGGGGTATATATTATAAATATTTATTAACCTAAAGTAATTTTTAATTATATTAAAGTAGTATAAGCTATAAATCTAATTAAATAAAACGTTAAGGTACTTAATAAGTAACTTAAATAGTAATAAATAAATCTTAATTAAGGCCTTGTTTATTACTTAATTAACTTTATAATTAATAAGCTCTACGTTTTTATTAATAAGTTATTTACGAATAATAATAACCTTATTTCGTAATTAGGGTATATTATTATCCTAGTTAATAAGAATATAAGTAAGAGCGAATTTACTATATATAGTAATATAATCTATTACTCGTTAATTAAAAATAAGTAAATAATAAGAAGTATATTAATATCAGAGGTTTATAATATAGTTAATAACGTTAACCTCTCTTATACGATTTTAATAATACTAAAAAAGATTACTAATTAACTTAGTTTTTTACTTATTCTAATAATTATTTATACTAATTTATACTTACTATATAAATACCTCGTTAAATTAGGAATAATAAAAAAAAAAGCTTATAATTAATATTATAGCCCTTAAGTAATTGTACGAAAAGTATAAAATACTTAAAATCCGTTAGATTAATAATAAAAATAACCTTATAAACGCTTTTATAAAAGTAGTACTAAATAAGGAGTTAAAGTAATTCGTAAATAGTAAAAAAGTTATTATATAAATAGAGGGATAGGTTATATAAAAAAAATAAAAAAAAGAGAGAAAAAAAAACGGCTTAATAAATAAGCCCGAGGTCGAATTATACTTCTAACTATAGTAATTAAATTAGTAAAAAAAAAAAAAAGTTAATATTAAATTAGAAATCTAATTTAATTATAGTATATAGCTAACTATATAAGGGCTAATTAGGGGCCCTATTTATAATTATTATAGCTAGCTTAACTTATAATTAGAACCTCCTTTTTATACCTACTATATAAATATTTATATAATTTAATTAATCTCTTTATTAACTACGGTTCGAACTAACTACCCTATAATAGGGATACCAACAGCCTCGGATAATTTAGCAGAACTCCGCTTATCGATGCAGTTGGTATCTACCCAGGCGTGTGTGTACCCATCCTGCAGGGCCAGGCGGCAAAACGATTCGATCTTGAGGAAGCCTTTCTTTCCTGTCCTAGTCTCACGCTGGCTCCATTCTTGGAACGATACTTCTCCGTCCTCCCAGGTGTGGGAAAGAATGGCATACGGTGGAGTGCCGGCACGGTCAAAAAACTCCTCGAGCTCCAATGTCGCCGTGTTGATCAGATGCATGATGGGCTAGATTGGGAGCACTCATAAGAGAAGCTCACATCTAGATAACAAGAAGGCCGCGATGAGATCCACGGTGAGAAGGTGAGGTGTCAGAAGCGAGGTGTGTTTGGGATGAGGGGTATCCCAGGCATCCATCAGTTGGGAGAGCCTGATCACTTAGAACTTAGAAGCTATGTTGAGATGACTAAGCGGCAAGAACATGTTCATCTTATCTTTTGGAAAGTCCTTACCTTCTATTTGGGCAGTGCTTTCATCGCATGATGCCAATTGTACTCGAAGGAAGCATCAGCCAACGTCCCTTTCCGCGCGTTGACGGCCACCTCCGCTGTGAATCGGGCAAGTTCCTAAGATTAACTTTCCAGAGCCGTTACGACCGACCTGATTGTGTCTGAAATGCTCTCACGTGCCTATGTTGGACGAACATGGAAGCTTCTCAGTTTTGCCACAGGATTCATTCTGACATCATCCCTGAATCCCCGGCGGAGCCTCTGCTCCTAGCCCCCCCCCGAATGTCACCACCCGACATCTCTCGACCAACAAATGAAGCCTTAGATCCTTCTATCTACCTTTGTTAGTTATGGATCCTCGTCAGTTAGCCTGTACGATCAGTATGACTTTCCGTTGGAAGTCCCGGAAAGTCATGATCGTCTCCCTCTGGGGTCTTGGCGACGTGATGTCTTGCTATCTGTTTTGATTTACTGCTTGACTATCCTCATGGAATCTATGATGGCCATCTTTTCTTCGCAAACCCTTTCTTCACAGGCGTTGTATCCTGTTTCCGTTTAGTAGATGTCTACGATCTCCCTGGCTTCTGACAGTGATGGACGAGAAAGCAGCTCCTGGGGCCGACAGCCCCCCTGGTCCGAGGCATCCGCGCGCCCGTGATGCCAACGTTGAACATCACCATGCTCATCAGTATGACCCTACCGCATTTGGTCGTCATAGTCTACAGATCAGTCAGGCTTCACAGCCTGCTTCGGAGTTTCAGCCTGAAGGTCAACGACAGTATGGGATCGTTCCTAGCACAAGAGATGGAGACGTGCTCGATGAGAAGAGGCCACAACCACAGAATCCGCCAGACATCGACACATTCCGCCGCCCGGCCTCAGCACCACACAACCAACCATCATCCCCACGATCTCCAAAGAAACACACCACCAGACCAAGCCATGACTTTGACCGTCGCTACGACGGCCCCTTCAGCCGGCCAAGCCTCGCCATGACCCGGCGAAGCTCGCTCTCAGCCACACGGCCGTCAACGGACCCAAACACACCCCGCGCCGGCGAAGCCCCCGGCACGGCCGGTGATCCTCCCCGAACCCTCCCGGCCTTCCATCCAACTCCCCCACCACTAAACTACACCCTCCGCACCCGAAAGACAGCAATCGCTTTGTTCTGGACCCTCATCCTCTTCGACTCCATCGCCATGCCGATAGCCCTGTACTTTGGCCTTTGGTACGGGGTTGGCCCGGGGACCAACACCCCCACGGAAAAGAAGGAGAAACTCTCTCCCAACGCCGTCTTCTCCATTGTCACCGCTGCCGTGGGTGGCGCCAGCATTGTAGAGTACTTTTTGCGCTTCTGGCGACTTTGGCGCAAGGGAAGTAAGTGTCGTGTCATCGGGGCGCATAGGTGGTACCTCGACTGGTTTCACTGGAACTTTTCGTTTGCGTGGATCATCATCATGATTGAACTCATCGTGTAAGTGTCCACCCTCCTCGCATCAATCTCATAGTTACCTCAAGTCACACATTATTGACACCATCCAAGAGGCACCGTCCCAAGAAACCCCCCAATCCGACTCCTCTCCATGCCCGTCCCAACAATGCTCCTCGTCTTCGGCACCCAACTCCTCCTAATCGACGCCCTCCGCGCCCTCCACATCCCCTCCCCTCTCCGCATCTCCTCCGTGCCCCGCAGAGCCCAGCTCCGACCAGGCATCTACTCCCTCATCGAAGACGTCTGCGCCGTCGACGGGTCCGGCGGCACGGACTTCCGCGTCGCGCTCGATAGGCGGTACGAGGCGAGCCACGTCTTTCGCGCGATGCTGAGGCGGTTGGGTGTGTTTTGGGCTGTTGGCGCTGAGGGCTGTGCTGTACTTTGTACGGCGCTGATTTTCGGTTTGAGGAGCGGGGAGGCGGCGTATGTTGTTGGGTGGTCGGTGCCGTTTGTGTGGGCTGGTGTCTGGACGGTTGCGACGTTTTGGTATGTGAAGAGAGAGTTGAGGCGAGAGGCAGAGGCTTGGAGTGAGGAGGTCGCAAGGAAGGGGGTCGCAGGGTCCATGTTCATGGCGTCGGTTTGAAAGGACTCAGGTTCACGTAGACATGTAATGAGGTACCACAAATCACGTACACAAATCACGTACACGAAGAGTGACAAATTACAGATGCTTGGAGATTTATCTTGATATTTTTGCTCTCGTCCATGTCTATGCTTCCATGGGGACCTCCCCTCATCAACCCAAAACGCCTCGTTCACGACCAAAGTCCTCTGAGACGCCGTTTTCTTCCCCTCCCAGCAATACATACATGCAAAGGTCTATTCCTCGAGACCATCTCGAAAGAGAACCATATAATACAGAAAAGGAAAGCAATCGTCCAATTACACAAGGTGCCGCCCTTCTACACACAGCTTACCGCTTCCGCGTGTCGCGACCCTTCTTTTTACTCTTCTTCTTGTCCTTAGGCAGGTCTAGCGCCGTGCCCTTGAGCTGCTCCGCCATCGTCCGGAGCATGTACTCGTCCACATTGTATATTCTCTCGCCCCACGCGTTATGTTCAATCTCTACCGCTTCATCCGGTGCGACAGACTCTGAGAACCGGCCTAGCCCAGAGGGTCCCGGGCCGCCGCCTGACTGACCGGCGACATCCTCCCGCGGCGTGCCTTGGCGGGTGCTAGAGGCGCCAGAAGGTGCGCCGCTCTTTTCGTTGAACTCTGCGTCGTCGTCCTGAATCTCCTTCTCGGCGGCCTTGGCGGCTTCTACGTCTTCCTGGTCTTCGGCCTGCTTAAGGTCCTCGGCCACGGTTCTCGACGCTCCACTGTCTCCTCCACCCAGAAGGCGGTCCATGGCGGCATTAGCGGCATCATCGACCAGGTCTGTTCCCTCAGTGCCGAGAACGTCCCGCACGGAAAGTTTGTTGAAGTAGTCCGTGGTGAAACTACCCTCCTGAATGACCACGTCGTCCAGCATCTGCTTCTGCGACGCTTTACGAAGAATGTTGGCTTCAATTGTGTGCTCGCTGACGAGTCGGTAGATGTGAACATCTCGTGTCTGACCGATACGATGGCATCGATCCTGGCACTGCTTGTCCATGGCTGGGTTCCAGTCTTGGTCGTAGAAGATGACGGTATCGGCCCCAGTAAGGTTGATGCCCAATCCACCAGAACGTGTAGACAAGATGAAGCACAAGATGCGTGGGTCATGGTTGAACCTGTCCGTAAGGATTTGCCGCTGCTCAATCTTTGTTTGTCCATCAAGTCGAAGGTACTTGTGGCCGTGGATATTGAGGAACTGCTCGAGAATATCCAGAACCTTGGTCATCTGTGTGAAGATCAAGGCACGATGGCCGCCGGCTTGAAGCTTGCGAAGAAGCTTGTCCAAGGCTTGAAGCTTCCCACAGTCGTATTGAAGCAGACGCTTGTCTGGGAACTGGATGCTGTGGCGCATGCGAGACTCGTGCCATGGGTCAATGGGTGGCTGCTTGGGCATGAAAGGAGCCCACCGGACAGGCGCTGAGAGCTTGAGATCCTCGTCCGTAAAGGCCTGAGCCGCCTTTCTTCCCAGTATCACCTCGTTCATGTCGCGAGTGATGACGGCGGGAGTGACGCATGTGAACTTTTGAATGATCGTCTGCATCGCATCGGCTCGTTCGTCAGCTGGATGGATGACGGCACGGAGGAAGTCAGAATCCTCCGCAAACCAATTCAAGATCTGGTTAGGAACTCTTGGCTTGGGTTTCCGGGGTCTGCCGTCTAACCCGAGCGTCAGGAAATCAATCAGGCGCTTGCCATAGATGGGCCGACGTTGGCCGCGGAGAGCGTTCAGGTACACGCTGTGCTGCAATTCCTCGAAGCGGCGCCAGCGAGCCAGGCTGTCCAGATACATAATGTTCGACTCAACTGTTGAAGGGTCGAGGTTTGTACGAGCCAGATGAGCTCTGGTATTCTGTGCCTCTCTCAGTTCCATCAGTACCCTGTGGAGGCTGAGCTGCGAAATACGCTCCGCCGTTGTGTTGGACATATTCTCGTGTTGTGTAGGAATCATGTTGAGAACGCCCAGGCTAACAATGGACATAGGCTCTACTGCAAGTAAAGATCGGTGTAGGAACTGATCGGTAACCTGAAATTCTGCTGGAACGGATTTCTGCATCCTAAAGGACGTCATGATGGGGCGGTCCACGAAAAGGTCGGGATGGTTGCAGACTTTCCGCAACTGCATCAGACAATTGATGATGGAAAGGTAGTTGCCAGAGGACAGCGTCTCCCGGGTGTCTGTGCGAGCCAAGAAGCCATCATACAACTCGCGCTGACGTTTCGACAGGCGACAGAACTCTACGTGTTCGTACTTGGCCGGCATTTGCTTTTCGACGTCGGCCTTGAGTCTTCGTAGTAGATACGGTCGCAAGACCTTGTGTAATTTGGAAATGATCGCTCGCGCTTCCTCGTCCATCGTCTCGCGGCCGTTTTCCAGGATTTGAGACTCTGGCTTGTGGAACCAATCGTGAAACTCTTGCAAGTCTGCGAATCCACCCACGCCATTTTCGGCTGGCATGAGGAAGAACAGCAACGACCACAACTCGGTGAGATTGTTTTGGAGCGGGGTGCCTGTAAGTAGAAGCCTTGCCCGAGTATTGAAACCGAGGAGCGTCTGCCACCGCTGTGATTTGAAGTTCTTGATGTTGTGGGCCTCATCGAGAATCATGTAGTGCCACCTCCGACGTTTGAAGACCTGCTGGTCCTGGATGACAAGCTGGTAGGATGTAATACAGACGTTCCATACGTCATCGTTGTTCCATCCCTGTCGCTTGCGTTTCCTCTCCTCTTGAGTGCCGTAGTAGGAAAGAATTTTGAAACCAGGACACCATTTCTTGAACTCCATCTCCCAGTTGAGCATGACACTTGTTGGTACGATCACCAGATGCGGTCCCCAAACCTCGTGATGGCAAGCAAGATGAGCGAGTAGCGAGATGGTCTGGATGGTTTTGCCAAGACCCATCTCATCTGCAAGAATGCCATTGGTGTTGTTGGCATACAGTCCCGCCAGCCAGTCCAGTCCATGATGCTGATATTCACGCAGAGTACCACGAAGCAAAAACGGGATTTGCGTCTGTTGTGAATTGGGGTTTGGTGAAGCTGACCGACTGACAACATCCTTTGCCCCTGGGGTCGCCAAAGACATTGTGTCCACATCTGAAGGCTTTGTGTCGGATGTAGGGGGCGAATGACTTTGTTCTCGACTTGGCGGGACGGTAATGATATCGGTATCAGGAGTGACATGTTTGGTTGCGACCGTAGCAGCGGTAGATGGCGCCGGGGGCATTGACGCCTCTGATGTTTTCGATGGCGCATCTTGCATTTCCGTATCAGCAGATTCCACTGCCTCTGGTATCCCGTTGGTGGCAGCTACTACCCTCGTGAATGTTGGCTCCTTATGTATGCCATTGACTAAGGCCTCATCTGACTTGAGCGACTGTACGGGCAAGGTGAGCTCCTTCTCTGAGGCTGCAATTTCGACACCTTCATCCTGGTCGCCAGCGCTTGGTAGCACAGTAGCTTGTCCTTCTGTGTCAACCTCCATCTCGTCACCGTCCAAGAAGATACCAGGGTGTTGAATGAGAGACACTTCATCATCATCATCATCCTCAACAATGTCGTCCCTAAAGTTCGATGATGCCTCTGCTTGTCGGGATGCGCCATCAGCCACCAAGGCTGTAGCGTTTTCATGTGGCTCCTTGTCATCGGGCGGCGCCTCATCCTTAATTTTCTTCAACTCGGATTTCCCAAAGAGCATGCCCAACAATCCAGATGGCTCCTCGTCGCCGTCTTCCTCTTCCGACTCTTCATCTGCGGCAGAGCCGTCATCACTGTCGTCCATATCGGTGGACCCCATGTCGTCGTCCATGTCAACGGACTCATCGCTGGTCTCTTCTCCGGGGCTCGTTGCCACGACTTTTGAGTCTGCCTCGGACTCGACGCCATTGGTGAGTTTCTTTTCGGCTTGTTCGTCGGGAGGAAGCTCAGGTAGATTGGCGTATTTGGCGCGAAGCTGTTCCATAGTGAGCTTCTCATCGCCAGCATCGCCGGTGTGATCTTCGCCTGCTTCCTCCTCTTCTGAAGATGACATGACATCGTCGTCATCGTTGCCGGAGTCATCATCATCCGCATCTACCGACATCGCTTGGCTGTTCTCTAGGTCGCTGTCGAGGTCATCCAGGCCGTCCTCATTGTCGTCGTCGTCATCGTCGTCGAGATCATCCTCATCGGATATGTCCGAATCTGCCTGTGTTCTTCTTGCCTGCAGCTTCTGCTCTGACAAATTGACGGCCTCCTGAAGCGCAGCCTTGACCCGGCGCTGCTCCTCTGCCTCCCATTCTTGAATCCTCCGCCGATTGATCTCGTATCGAACATTCTCCCAGGTTCCAAACATGCTTTTGACAACCACTCTGTATCGCCCGATCCACACAAAGCGCGCCTCGGCCTCGAGTTCTTCTGCTGACTTTGGTTGGCGCCGGAGCCAAGCGTCCTTGCATGCTTCGGCAATCTTCTTGGCCTGCGCTCGATGTCTCTGCTGCTCTGCTACCATCAGCTTGCGGAAGTTGGTAACAGCCTTGGCCATGTGGTCTGCATGAGCCCATTGGCGAGGTGGTTCCTCTTCCGCCTCGGGAACAAACAGGGTGCAGCGCTCTTGTGAAAGAATACCGCCAGGCTCCACAGCCTCTTCAATGCGCAAGACAATTTGAGCATCCTTCTGGGCCATCTCATCAGTGTAGCTAGGCCCCTCCTCTGGGATGTACATGCCACCATCCTCAACGGGTATTGCCTGCGCCTTTTCCCAGTATTCTTCAAAGTTGGGTCCGATTCTTAGCCTCTTGCTGACTTGTCCCGGATGTACAACGGGTAGCTCGGTCGCGCGCACACGTAACTTAATCCGCGTACGGTTCGGGCTACCCGCCGATGTCGTCGCTACCTCATCGTCGATGGAGCTGCGACGGCCCCGCCTTGTCCGCGTTGACTGCCTAGTTGGTTGAGCAGATGGGGAAGGGCTTCGCTTGCGTGTGGATCGGGAGGTGGATTTGGTTTCGTTCGCAGCCGACTTTCGGCTGGAGGTCTTGGGCGGAGGCGGTGCGGGCTTTGCTGCTGATGGTTTTCGCGAGGGAGTCTTGGACTTCGAGGTTCCGTTTGGGGTGGGGGTCGCGGCATGGCCGTTGGTAGAAGCATACTTGTTCTTGGAGGGCGGACTGCTGTTAAGAGCTCCTCTCGTCATTCGCTTGCCGGATGGCGGATGGAACTCAAGGGGAATAGTGTTGATTCGACCAGACTTGCGTCTGCCATTGTCGATAAAAGACGTCGGACCCTCGGCGGTGATCTTCTTCCATGGCGGAGAGATTTGCTTCTTTTTCTGACCAGATCCAGGGGCGGATGGCGTGGAGACGCGACGTCGTTTCGAAGGGCGTTCATCATCGATGTCGGAGGAGGGCACGGGAGGGGGAGGCGAGGGCGAGGGTGTTGACGGAGATATTGGTGATGCAGGTGATGGTGAGCGGAGGGGTAGCCCGATGAAGTCGTTACCGTTGGGGGTCAGTTGGCCTTCGAAATCGTCGGATCCGAGGGATTCAAGCGGTGATGAGGGCGGATCGGTATCATATTGAGGTACAGTCGCGGTTTGTTTGTCGCGTTGGGAGTCGATGGCCTCGTTGGTGGGTTGCGCAGGGTCGGGCGACGCGGTCTTGTTCATAATAGCAACGGGGGGCGGACGCGAGATGGGGCCTTGATCTCGACGGGGCCGGCATCTGAAGCGTCAAATTTAACGTCTATAGAATGGTGTATGCTCAGAGAATTCTAGTTTCGAGTTTGAACATGATGACACGTCTTGGTGGCCGGCTGCGTTGGAAAAAGGATGCAAAACCAGCGTCGCCAGCAAAAACTTTGATGATAGATTTTTTTGCAAAGATGCAGCTCCGACCTTGCCTGGGCTAGCCGAAAGGAGAACGTTGGTACTTGGCCTCAGACCTCAAGACTCGGGGGGCGTAGGGGCGTAGAGGCAGTTCGGGTGGTGACGGCGGACGATTGATGCTGCCCTGAGGTACAGGCTACACACCACTGTGACTCGAACCACCAATGAATGACGACCGCTGTTTGGGGGACTTTGCTCCCTTGAATCAACGAAATGGGTGACAGGAGTCAGGGCAAGTCCATCCAACCAGACGTCCGGATTCGACCAAAGTGCCCCACATCTGTCTTTGGCTGGCGTGCACCTCAAAAAAGTGACCAGTTCTGAACAATTCACGCCTCAGGCATTCATCCCATCCAGGCTGGCCAACCACAATCGAGGGATTTGGCTAGCAATCATCAATCGACCGAAGCTTCGGCTCAGACCTGCGACGACATCACATCCAAAAATACCAAGCAATTGGGCCCGCATCGGAACCACAACTTCGGCCACGGTATGTCCATTCCACCCTCAATTGACTCGTAGACTATCGTGACAATCTAACTCGCCTCTTTCGCAGATGCTGTCCCAACGATTTGCGCGGGCCTCGACGGTCCGCGGCGCCGTCCAGGCCGCCCGACGAACCCCGATTGTCCAGCAACGTACCTTCTTCCCTCCTCAGTTCAACGACCGCAAAGTCCTCGAGGAGAAGTACCCCGAGTACCCGACTCTGTCTGACGCAGAGGACCCCAACATGGTCAGTGACACGGCAATTGGTTGCGAGAGAGGAAGGAAAGAGTGAGAGAGGCTCGATAGCCGTGGCTAACTCGAAGACGCGCAGAACGGCGGATACATCAACCCTCCCTTCATCAAGAGACAGTTCCGCGATCCCCACGGCGATTGGTGGGACAAGCAGGAGCGCCGCAACTTTGGCGAGCCTGTCCACGAAGACCACGACTTGCTCGGCATGTTCTCCCCTTTCGAGTACACCTGGACCACCACCGGCAAGGGCCTGGCCCAGATCGGTGCCTTTATCGTCGTCTTCCTCGGTGTCTGCGGTGTTGTCAAGGCCAGCTACCCCGACAAGGCTTCATACCCGAGAGAATTCCCCGACGGACTCGAGAGGGAGTTGGGAGGTGCTAGCGCTCTGCGGGTAGGTCTTGCGGCAGATATATGAGATCAAGACTGCGAGACTAACATAATGACAGGCGAGAAAGGCTGGCGACGCTGACCCATGAAAAGCGTGACATGTCGGGGGTTACGAATGGAGACGCATGTGTGTATTTTAGAGCAGAAGAAGAAATCCTTTGGGAACCCCACCAGCAACAAGTTCATATGTCTTCAGTCAATGTTCCAGTCAGAATCATCCGCAGTGAAATCAACCATGCTAGCCTGGCAACCAAGGTGGTCGCATCTGACAGGCGGAGTGGGACGCAGACGCGACAGCTTTGCCGCCAAGAATGGCAAGAACGCAAGGTACCTAGTTGGCTATTCCTCGGCCAGTTCTTCACGATAGAAGGGCAAGTGCCCGGCTGGCGTCGGCCTCTGGGTGTAGAATGGCGTAGAAATGTGTGGGAGCTCCTTCTTTCCGCGAGGCAACTCAGTTCCATCTCTGCTTGCCCCTTGGACGAAAGGGGTACGGTACCTTGCCGTACCAAAGTCGTCTTCTCTGTCTACCATCCGTCAGTAGACGGGGTCGACGTCAAACAACACAACTACAATATTCAGTGTTCCCAGCATACTAATCTCGATCATCGGACTCGACCTTTGTCGTACCCGTCATCGTCTGCTCGCGTTTCTACTAACAATAAAGATTTCACCCATTGTCGCGCTCGACTAGATACTGTGGGGGGTTTCGACATGCGTTACGATAATTGGGACGTCCTGCTGTTCCCCGGCAGTGGATCGGTGCCGCTGAAGGAGTTCAAGACAGACTGCTCCGTCATTCCGGACCTTGGTCAGTCTTGACGAGCTCAGTAGTCATGGACGTTTCTTTGCTGATCAATGGATGACCTGACAGAATCGAAACTAGCATCATCTCCGGGGTCTTTTGGCTTACCGGTTGTTCATGGCTTCGTCCCCAGTCTTCCCCGCAACATGCCGCTCACGGTTTCCATCTTTTCTTGGACAATCCCTTCTATCAGCAACCCGAATCAAAACGCCAACCTTGCAGTCTTTGCGGCGAGGGTTTACATCGATGGAGAACTCGTCGCGTAAGAACTTTGCCGTCGACATCGGTGTCGCTTACAGCTTCTAACGGACTTTCAGCGAGGACGTATTCGACCAAGGTCGGCGGACGCCTCTTCCCATCTCTCAAAGTCTCAGTAAGTCGACACAGTTGCCGATGCATGAACTCGCCGAGGAATATGCCGCTGATCTGACTCTTTACAGAACCAAACAAACACGGTGACCGCGATCTGATCAGGTTCCCTGCATTCAACGAGAAATATTTACGAGAATACTCCTGGAATCCTGCCGCATCCCTTGGCCGCATCCAAGTTATCGTCACGGAAGCAGTCCAGCGTGACCCGACGACTCTTTCCTTGGACCACATCAAAAATATCGCCGCATTTTCTTTCTGCCACGCTCCACTCGGTCGGTAGCACCTAGTGACTCAGTTCGCTGTCTGGACTGCGGGCTAATCATTTCTAATGCAACAGAGACGCTCGAGGAAGCTGCCATTGCCTGGCCGAACCGACGCATGTGGGAGAGTGCCACGCCGGCACATGGCTTTCCCTCAGCAGTCTATCCAACAGGCCACGATCTATCTTCTCAGCAATGGCCTACAAGACCTGTGAGAGATCCGCCTCAACAGCCTTGGTCTTCAACTCCTGCGCCCACGACTCTGCCAGTATTCCAAATAGAGGCGAGTCCGTCAGACCCGCTTCGTTCGACTGGAGATTCCGTTCAGCGTGCCATAGAAGGGTCCCATGGTTGCGCTATCCGTCGGAATCCGTCACGCACTGGTGTTCTGTCGGCCTCAGTCAGCGCAGCGCATCCATCCCTCATGCTTCAAGATACCACCAATCTAATCGGCCACAACCCAGGGCCATTAAATCCTGTTCATTGGGATTACCCGGTTGGCGAAGCCCTTCATGGCGACCGTAACCCAAGCAGTTTCTCCACCCAGAGCCGACAAATACGTGGTGAAGCACCATTGAGTTCATTGGAGGCTTCAGACTCTACAACCGACAAGTTTGTCTCTTGTACGCTATCTCGTTTCTCACTCTTGGTTGGAGATTGTGCTGACCTTCAGCAGCCGTCCACGATGCGAGGTCGCAGGCTGCCCCGGCCGCGAAGTGGAGCATGTCAGTGCTTGGTCTGCCAGTCTCTCATGGCAATGGTCCTGAACCTCGACGGGAGCTCTACGCTCCAATCCCCGCAACGGAGGTCAAGTCTCGCAAAGAGTGCCAGCCTCAGCACAACATCTCGAAGCCATTGGCATCAACATTTCCCAAATCAACATCAGACCCGGAGCTGTTGAAAAGGGTGAAAGGTCGGGCGCTCTCGACCCTGAACACGCCTCAGGCCAGGTTCATGTTGATTGATCCTGCCAACACCGCCAGGCGCGCTCCGTCGTTGGGCACGCTGGGCACGCCATCGAAGAAGCGGTCTTCGGCGGCGAAGAGTATCCGGCGATCCGTATCATTTGGTCCAGTCGTCAAGGACATTGAGATTGAGCGGCCGCAACCTGGCATAAAGCCGAGTCAGTGTAAACGCGACTTCACGCCTCTTGGTGTTATAGAAGTTGTCGCCCAATCTGACCAAGGCCATTCCAGCCCCATCCTTTGATCATCTACTGCACTGTCAGGAAGTATTGGGTGCCGAGATATCAAGAGACACGCACGTTGAGCATGACTAAACTAATCAAGAGAAGTCGCTCGGCAGAAAGAGTTTCGGCTTTGGGTGGATCGTTATGTACCAACGTATGAGACTCTACCGGCGAAGATCATGTATTGTTTACGCTGTGAAGTCTTGGGCCATGGATTACTTTCCACGAAGCACGTGTAGTGTTTACCAAAATGGCAACGATTCCCGCAAGTAGCATTCCTTGCCACTAGCAGTGAATAGAACTGTAATTCGTTAATCGAAGCTTATCGTTGTTTTGGAGTACAGTCGGCCTCAAGCTTGATCCGTTGTCATGTTACGAGCATGTGCCTCTTTAGCCACACAGTATGGTAAGATCATTCAAGGTTATTCAGAAGCTCACAAGTTACCACAGCCCAGCCGACGGTTCGGGGAGAAATTCTTGGATATTCCGGAGGTAGGGGAGCTTCGATCCACTTTAGGGCCGATTGAATACGTGGGTGATGTATGGATCCCCGGATGGATATCCATGGTGGCCATCCTCCTCGGCTCGGACTATGACAGGTCAGTGCATCATCTACCTGTTCATCCCATGAACCCCTCCGTTCCATGGGCAGATCTCGATTTTCTCTCTCGTGTTAGTTTATAGCTGGACATCCGCTTCTTGTAACTCTTCAATGAGTCGCTAATCTGTAAATGTTGTTTCTGAAGTTCTGTTAAAAGGGGCATCATTGTCCATTCCTTACCCATCATGGCTCGAATTTCAATTCCATAGTAAGTCAATACTTCAGGCTTGTACGGGAGACTGACAACTTCGGGTTTCTGGCGCTGGACGACGCCTCCCGAACCGAAAGCCGGGATGGAGTACTCGCCGGGATGGGTTGCAAAGGTACTCCAGACCCCAGATCTCGCACTCCGCAAGTGACCCATTGTGACCTGTAATTCGTTGGTTTACATGGCCTAATGCAGCTAACCATCGTTTGCATGTGCGGGGATTTGGGGAACTGCTCAAAGTGTGGGGTGTAAAGGAAATTGGCATTGGAACGTCGGGATATCCGGTCGACAGCGTGAATACGGTTGTTCCTGGCAGGCTTTGGGCAATAGTGCCTCGATTGATCTGGTATATAAGAGACTTCATGTCCAGATTTCCATATCCCGTTCGCCCCGATGGCTGATGTCCTGCAAGCCCAATTGCGTTGCAAGTAGTCAGTCAAACAGAGATCTTGACAATGCTGCAAGCATATCTAGGTCTAGCAGCAGTCTCCCTGACTGGGGCGTATGCCGCTGCGCTCGAGACTCCCGGTGCTCCATCGACAACCGCCCGGCCAACTGCCGCAACTTTGTGGTCCTACAGCACCTTTACGTATGAACAGCTGACGGTAAACCGGTACCCGACGCCGCTGCCATCTCCTCTGACCATCGCGACCCCATACGCACCACACTTTACCGAGGTTTCGACATTGTTGCCAGAGAATGTCACTTACACGACGTATTCCCTCAACCCGTCGGCTACAGCGTCCCCCGATGGCCAGTACGGCCAGAGCGCCTACGCCGCTCTCTGGGCAAACTACACTTACACGCATGAGCCTCCCTTCACGACAACCGCATCCCCGACACCCATCCCGTCCAGCGAGCTGGTATACCCCCCTCAACTGCCCGCCAGACCCCTAAATGACAACACCAACCTCAAGTTCCCTTCCGACTTTGTATGGGGCGTGGCTGCCAGCGCATGGCAGATCGAGGGAGGCCTCCAAATCGAGGGTCGCGGCCCTGCTGTGCTTGACGTTGTTGGCGTCAACGGCCAGGGATTGCTCGGTACCAATGACTCGAATGTGGCAGACATGCACTACTTCCTGTACAAGCAGGACATCGCGAGGCTTGCGGCTCTTGGCGTGCCGTACTTCTCCTTCTCCATCTCCTGGACTCGTGTCGTGCCGTTTGGCAGGGCAGGTTCGCCGGTCAACCAGCAGGCGTTGGACCACTACGACGACGTGATCAATACTTGTATAGAGTACGGCATCACTCCGGTCGCCACGTTGATGCACATAGACAACCCCGTTGGCATCTTTGAAAATCTCGACGAGTTCCCAAATCACTACGCCTACTATGCCAAGCAAGTCATGGCGCGGTATGCGGATAGAGTGCCGTACTGGGTCACCTTTAACGAGCCAAACATTGCCGTGCAATTCACCCTGCCCAGCTACGATGGATTAACGGCGTTCCTCCTCGCCCACGCGGACGTCTACCGCTGGTACAAGGACGTCCTCGGCGGTACTGGCAGGATCACCATGAAGTTCGCAAACAACCTTGCTGTCCCTCTAGACCCGGGCAACCCAGACGACGTCGCAGCCTCCTACCGCTACCAAGACTTCATCCTCGGCATCATGAGCAATCCCCTCTTTTTGGGGAAACAGTTCCCCGAAGTAGTTCT